ACACACACACACACACACACACACACACACACACACACACACACACACACACACAGTGAGTTATTCATGTATTCTTCAGGAACTCCTTTTTTTCAGATGCAGCCCTCTTTTCTTTTCAACTTTTTCTCTGTCAGCAGCAGACCTCCTGTAGGCTTAAGGTTTTAACGTCCTTTTCCCTTTGAGAACGGGGCCCTATTGTGTGGAATTCTGTCCTTTATCTTAGACCCAGGGCATTTCTCATACCTACCCTTTTCCTTTCCCCTTTGATTTCGGCAATTCCTGTACTCTGGCTCCTTAACCCTGACTTTGTAATTCTTCACGTACTTATCCACCCCACCCCAGTCCCGCCATGAAATTCCCACCGTGACTTCAGGTCTGCAGGGGCGTGCTTTCAAAAGTCACTCACAATAATCTTTTCTTTGAATCTGGACCCGAACCAGAGGCCGAGCCAGCTTCCTGTGACTTGGTGCCTCACTTTAGTGTCTTTCAGTTTGGAGCCTCACAACTTGGGCCTCTGTCTGTCTGGCTCTGTGTTCCTGGCCCCTGCCCAGGAACTGAGGATAAATCTCAGGCCTTGGCTCTCTCAATGCTAAATTCTGTGGAAACGAGCCGGGCAGCAACCCTATTTTGCTTAGAAATCTCCAGCTTAAAGATGCCTAATTTCTGGGAAGAGGGATGTGAGGATTTTCTTTGTTGTTTTTGTTTAGGCAATGTTAACCAATTTCCTGTCAGAATTCTGGTTCCAAATTCAGAGTTTAAGTGACCAGAAACACACAGTGAAGGGTGTGTGACTCAGACTTTAAGTCTGGAATTTCAAACACATCACTTCTGTTTGCTTGATCAGGCTCTCCTTGGTCTGAAAGCAACTGTATCCTTTCTATTTTAAAAGGAGAGAAGTTGCACAGCCTTCTCCTCCTAATCCTCCTCCTGCTCTACTCCTCCAGCTCCCGACTGCTGCCCCCTCTTTCCCTCCCTCCCGTCTTCCTCTTTCCTCCTTCTTGAGGAAGCTGTAGTGAAAACAGCATGAACAGGCTTTGGAGACCTGTCATTGCCAGCTCTGTCTTTGGGGGGAGGGAGTCCTAACTTCACTGAGCGACAGTTTCTTCAAGGGTTGTGCTGTGGATTGATTAAGATTCTGCTACTGACAACATAATGTGCACTTAAAATGATTGCTGGCTCTGATTTTCTGGTTAGCTCTTCCTTAAGAGCGTGTTTCATTTTCTCCTACTCTTAAATATTTGTGTCTTTATAAAACCAAAGATTTCAATGAAAACAGATGTTCAGACCCACTTTTCTGCATGTCTGATGGTTCATTTACTATTAATTTCCCTACACTCTTTAACCAGTTTGAACTCCAACTATGGCTAGGACTTTGTAAGGCTCTAAGGATACAACTGGATATATTTCTGAAACTTTTGAGCCAATATAGTTACTTCCCAGATGGTTTCCTTGGTTTAATGAGGTTAAATGACAGAACTGACGTCAACTATATCCTGCTGCTTCAGGTCTTTTACTTCAATTCTGAGGGAAACATTTTGCCTTGGGGTGGAGTAATAGCCAGTAGTCACCTTAATTCTGAAGAGTTCCTCTTGGAAATGTCCAGGCATTTGATCACCATTATAGAGAAACATACCCTCTCTTCTTGCTGTATTTCTCTGCCCTGAAGAGCCTGTGGCTTGGCTTCTAAACTGGGTGTCTAGGAACTCTTTTTAGTTTCCTTATAAAGGATGAGGGAACAAAGGGACTGCACTGACAAAGAGCAGTGAGCTAGGTTTCATACTCTGTGGTGAGCCTCTCCTTCAGTCTCTCCACCTCCCAGCCCAGTCTTATTATTCTTGAGTTTCTTGTTTCCAGTCTGGGTGTCCAGCTAGTGCTGTAGGAGAATTTGGCTCTCTGCTGATTTGGCTCAAAGTCCTTCACCACATGGAACCACTTATTCTGCTTCAATTAATAGGCAAAGCTTCCATTGGCATGTACCCATATACCCTTGTGACTGATGGCATGATAGTCAGGGGATGGCTCGATTGCCCCGAATATAATTTACTTTGGTCTCTGTCCAGGTCACTCTTTCATCTAGCAATACCTTACACATCATCTTCAATTCATATCCTTCATTTTCTTCCTGACGACTCTAAGCACTACTGTCTTCTTATATTTATCTCTACCAGTGTTGGATTCCAGCATACACACACACACACACACACACACACACACACACACACACACACACACACACCTCTTCTGTTATTTCCCTTAACCTTTCCATTCTCCATTCCCCTACCCAAAGCTGCTCAAAAGCTACACTATTGTGCTGGCTGTTTTGGTTTGGTTTTGGTTGTTTTGGTCTGGTTTTTGAGACAAGGTCTTGATATATAGCCCAGGTTGGCATGGAACTCACTGTGTAGTTCAGGCTTTTGAATTCATGGTGATTCCCCTGCTTCAGCCTCTCAACTTCTGGGACTAAAAGCATGGGCTATCATGCTTATCTTGCTATTGGATCTCAAATCACCTCACAGTATATAGAATTTGGTTTGGGGATCTGGCTCTGTCACACAGTGGCTATGGTCTTGGCAATATTGCTCTCTCTCTCTCTCTCTCTCTCTCTCTCTCTCTCTCTCCTTACTCTCTTCATGCCTTATCTGTTTCATTTATCCATTTAACAAATATTTACTGCTCACCAGATGCAGTGGTGAACAAGGCACATATTTAGTCTCTTTCTTGATAGAGCTCAGGCCACTTTAGAGCATGTGTGAGGATTGATGGTGCAATAAAGCCAGATAGTACAATAGAAAGAGGGCTTGTCTTTGAGCCAAGTGAATAATTATTTCTTAATCCTGGTTCTGTTACTTCTGGTCTGTTCCTTAAGTTGTATGCTTTTGGCAAAATGGGTATTACAGTACTTGTCTTGATTTTTAAACTTTCTGTATATGTTGGTGTTTTGCATGCGTGCATGTCTGTATTCTGTGTTCATGCCTAGTACCCACAAAGATCAGAAGAGGGTTACAGATAGTTTTGAACCACTGTGTGCATGCTGGGAATTGAATCTGGGTCCTCTAGAAGAGTAGTGAGTGTTTTAAATCAGTGAGCCATCTCTCCAGCCCAAGAATAAATGAATTTTGTGTGATATTTTCTGCTTAGATACTCTTTGCCATCAGAATCACAGACAGATTATTTTTCTAAAAATGTCACTGGAGCTAAATTGGTATGTGTGTTTACAATTTTAGGAAGTATTGCATCAGCACCCCTGTTAATTTCTTGTGGCTACCATAACAAAGCATCATAAACTGTGCTGCTAAAAACAACAGAAATGAAGTGGTTGTGGAAGTGCACGTCTGTAATCTTGCTTGGGAAATGGAGACAGAAGGGACAATTGGAATTCAAGGGACAATGGGAATTCATGGCCATCCCTGGCTATATGAGGAGTTGGAGGCCAACCTGGGTTTGATGCTGACCTGATGTCAAATGGATGTTAGCAGGATCCTGCCAGAAAGTCTAGTCTCCTTTGCCTTCTCCAGCTTCTGATGGCAGCGATGTTCCTGAACCCTGATCATAACCAAATTACTTTGTGTCTGCCTCTATGCCTTCTCCTCTCCTGTGTTTTGTCAACTCTGAGTGCCCATTGACAGTTTTGTTGTTTCTTTTTTGTTTTTTTAAGACTGGCTCTTACCTGTGTAGCTCTAGCTGGCCTGAAACTCACAATGCAGATCAGGCTAACCTCAAACTCATAGTGATCCCCTTGCCTCTGCATCCCTGTGCCACCAGTATAATCTGTCATGATTTCTCTGAGTCAGATTCCTTAAACACACCTGCAAAGTCCTTGTCACATGAGGTGACATCCACAGGTTCCAGGGACTAAATAAGCATATCTTGGTGGGATGCACTTTACTATGTCCCTACCAAAGTCTCTGCTACTTCACAGTGCTGCCCTTCCAAGAGGTCTGCACTATATGCTAGTCATGGTCAAAGGACATCGCATACAAAATACTGTTAAGCAGCTTCCCTATTTTCCATAATATTTTAGACAAGCCTCTGCCAACTTATTCTTACAAACCTGTGTGAAGAGGGAAAACCTCTCACTTTTCCATGTCATTACCTATTTGTTATCTTTTAACTCCTTCATCCTCACCACCAGATTGTCTTTATTCTTTTGTCTTACCTCTGGATTTGTTTGGGTTTTTGATTGTTTTGTTTTGTGAGGCAGGGTCTCACATAATCCTGGCTGACCTCAAACTTGCAGTCCTTTTGGCTCAGCCTCCTCAGGGCTAGGATTATAGATGTGTGCTTCTGCCCCTGGCCCTGTAGTTATTCTTGTATTATTACTGTTGTTGTTCCTATGTTATTCCCCTCATCCACACTCGTTTGGGAATTAAGCCCAGGGCTAGAGCTTTGTGCATGTTAGGCCAGTGCTCTACAACTGAACTACATCCTCAGTCCCTGTTTTAGATCTGTTTTATGAGGTGTGTGTGTGTGTGTGTGTGTGTGTGTGTGTGTGGCTGGCTGGCTGGCTGGCTGGCTGGCTGGCTGTGTGTGTGCAGGTGTGTGTGTGTTCCTCCGTTCACGAGGAAGCCAGAGGTGGAATTGGATCCTTCAGAGCTGAAGCTACAGGTGCTTAGGAGACACCTGGCTTGTTCTGTGGGTGCTGGGATCCGAACTTCAGTCCCCTAGATTGCTCAGCAAGTACTCTTAACTGCAGGGCTATCTTTCCAGCCCCTCTTTTTAGTCTCATGATTTCACATGTTATTTAATTTCATGGTTTCCTTGTGGAGCTGAGGGAAAGATAGATTGGAGCTGGAGCTTGCACCAAGGCTTCAAAGATGCTAAGCACACTCTTAACAATTGAGATACGATTCTACCCCCTGTGTGTTATTTCAGTGTCTTTATCCTTGTGGATATGATTTGTCACTAACATTACGTTTACTGTTTTATTTCCTACAGGTAAACCCCTAAACATCCACTTAGTGTTCTCACTCCACAGTATAAAGATTTAAACATTCTTCACTGCTTTGGACTTTAGCTCGACCTGTCAGTAACTTCCATAAAGCATTACATCTGTCAGATATATATTCTGCTCAGCACCTCTACAGATACTTTATAGAAACCATTATGTCTATGATTCCTCACTGAAAATCTGATTTAAAAAACAAACAAACAAACAAACAAACAAACATGCCATTCATTGGCACATGCTTGTAGTCCCAGCAGTTGGAGGCAGAGGCAGGGGGATCACTAAGTTTGAGGCCAGCCTGGTCTACATAGCAAATACCAGGACAGCTAGTGCTACATGGAGAAACCCTGTCTGGAAAAAAAACAAAACAACCAACCAACAACAAAACAGAAAACCTATGGGCTACTCACTTATACATGTATAAGCTCACACAATACACACATTGAACTTTTTTGTAAGTTTCAGGGGACTTGTGAGCCCCTTTGAAGTTTAAACATGGATGCGATCTTGAGTTAGGTTTCCCAAGCTGGAAAGAACATGGGCTTTAGGATATACAGATTCATGCTGTCACTCTGTCAGGCTCCGAGTCCTGGAGTAAGTCATCTGCCCTTCCTTAAGCCTAGTTTAAGCTACTCAGGCTCCAGCTTTCTCCACTGACAGCGTCACTCTTTCAGCATTTTCAATGTAGAACACAATTAATCACCTTAAAACAAAACAAACAAACAAACAAATCTTTTCCCTAGTTTCTCATTTCATTTTTAGTATTTATGGAATTAGCTCCCCATTTGACTTTGAATAATCATTAAAAAAAAACAGCCCCCTACTATAAGATAGCAATTAGTTTAACGAGATTGGGGAAGACATAAGCTTTTGGATAGGCCCTTCCCCGTGGTGGCCTCTCCCTTTTCTTTCACTCCACTATGTTCCTGTCATTTGCATGTTGGGGGAGCTGTCACTTGTCTCAAAGAGGGGGCAGAAACAGAAAAGATCTCAGTGCAAAGAACAAAGCTACCAAAGCTGTCTGGGCAGGACTGACTGAAGAGCCTCGCCAAGCCAGGAACACTCCAGGGAGAGAGCCTTTCGTTTTCACACAGTCTTTTGATAGAAGAATGAACATTCTATCAAGTCAGTGTCATATGGGGTATGAGAAAAGGGCTCATGCTGCTTTCCAAGATGGCGGCTGTGGAGGAGGGGATCTTTGTTTTAGTTTGCAGAGCAGGTAAGAGCTGATTTATTTAGCCGAAGTTATGTGCTATTCTTTCCCTCCTTAAAGACAAGTTTTGCTTAATGGAAATGTTTGGGTTAGATCCCTCTTCAGAAGCAGAACTGACTCCCAGCTTCGGCCCTGCCCACTCTAGGTCCATCACCAAGTTTGCACACAGGCTGTGCATGGCTCCTGTCAACATTGCAGTCAATGACTGAGCACGACAGAGATATTAATGCAGGCACCTGGGGTCAGATATGGAATTCCTTTGACATAAAGATTTCTTGGCTTGGCCAAACCTTTTTTGGAACTGCATTGCAGCCTGAGCGTCTCAAATCTAAGTGAGCCTCTTTCCTTCCTTCCACATGTCATACCTCCATTGTGATCTGAAGGCCTTCCTCTACTTCTCCAATAAATCTCTCTCATGGTTTTTTGTTTGTTATGATTCTGCCAAGACAGGGTTTCTCTGTATAACAGCCCTGGTTTTCCAGGAACTCTGTAGACTAGGCTGGCCTCAAACTGCCTGCTGATGCCTCCTGAGTGCTGGGATTAAAGGTGTGTGCCCCCCCCACCCCCTGCCCAGCTATCTCTTGAATGCTTATCTCATCTTAGTATTGTCTTGCCAGATCAAAACCAAGACAACTGGCAAACATGGATGAGTTTTTGTGGTATCAGGAATAGGAGAGTGGTCACACTGTGAAGGGATAGAAGGCTTATTTGATGATTTATGAGGCTTCAGTTAACATCGTTAGATGTGTTTGAAGCCCTGGAGACCATTCCAAAGCTGAACAGACAGGATACCCCTTTCTATAAAAAAACAAAATCCATTGCTTTGAATCTTGCCCTAGACAACGCCCTACTCAGTCTGGTCACTGCCTCCTTTTGCAGCTGCATCCTGCATTTCAGATTCCTTTACATTCCGGTAGCCACAGTGGTCTCTTATTCTGTATGTTTGCTATTCTCCATTCTCCCTCACAGCCTTCATACTAGCTGCTCCATATAACGAATACCCTCCTCTTACCTGTTGCCTAAAGAGTCTCTGCTCACACTTCACTCTAGTGATCACCCCCTCGAGGTGGCTTTTTTGATCTTCTTAACACAAGACGACATCTGGGTGTGGTGGTGCACACCTTTGATCCCAGCAAATGGGAGACAGGCTGGTGAGTCTGTGAATTTGAGGTCAGCCAGGATTATACAGTGAGACTCTGTCTCAGAAAACAAAACCAACCAACTAGCCAACCAACCAACCAAAACCCCTCAGAAACACTAGTCAGAAACACACACAACAGTTCTCACAGACTGTCACTCTATTGTACTTATCAGAGTTGCAGTTGTCTCAAACACTTGAGATTATCCAGCTAAGGCCTTTACCCTTCTTTATCACAATGCCCAAAAGAAAAGGAGTCATTATCTCAGCCTAGGGGCTAACTCACCATCAGTCACAGAGCAGACACTCAGTAATATATTTGTGGGATGATAAAGCCCAAACATCAAGGAATGGAAGGGAATGATTTAGAACACCGTGTCATGTCTGGAGTTTGATATTACTCTGCTTACAACTAATAACTTTGCCAGTTTCTATCTAGTAAATGCTACAAGTCACACATTTCTGAATCAGATAATGGATTTTTGACTCCTAGCACAGCAAGAAGCATCAGCATCTTAGGAGCTTAAGTCTTCTTTCTTCCTACATCTGAACCAAAAGGCTCAGTGGGGGTCTCATCATGAGACCGGAACACTGAGCTCGGAGGAACCTCCCTTTTATAATAAGCACTAAGCAAGCTTGCTCTTTTTATTTATTTTGTTATTATTATCATCATTCATTTTGTGAGACAGGGTCTGACTCACTCAGTAGCCCAGGCTTGCTTGGAACTTACTTCAAGTGTCTACTGTCTCCCAGGCTGGCCTCAATCTTGAGGCAGTCCTGTTGTGTCAGCCCCTGTGTTGACAGCAAGCTTGCTCTTTCTTGTAGGATTCATTGCATCTCTCTTCCTGCAAACACAGTCCTGAGAAGTGGCCCATGGAAAAAGTAGGCAGGGCTTTGTAGGGTTGCCACAAACCCAGCAAGGCGTGGAGGAGCGAAGAGACCCACAGGGAGTGTTGCCCAATAAAAGGTTCCTCAAAAACAAAAAACAAAAACAAAAACAACATTTATACCTAGACAAAGCTCAGAAGAGCATCCATACCCTCTGTTCCCTCTCATAATACACAGACAGCATTCTAGAATAGAAAAAAAATGATCATTGGTTTACTCATTTGAAGCATAAGTTTGAGTGTCTCATTTCCTTGAATGGCAGTTTTGCCTGAAGTTTTAAGAACATTGTAGGCTAGGTTGGCTATGCCTGTAATTCCAAATTTTAGGAGCCTGAAACAAGAATATCTCAAGTTCTGGGCCAGCTTGAGTTACATAGCAAGACTATTTCTCAAAAACAAAGAGGCTGAAGAGATGGCTCAGCAGATCTGGGTTTGGTTCCCAGTACCCATATGGTGGCTCTCAACTTTGGAATCCAAAGTTCCAACTCCGGGGGATCTGATGCATGCTTCTGACCTCCATGGATACCTCATATTTGTACTCAGGCATACATTCAGGCAAAACACTCACATACATAAACGAAAATAGAGTGAAAATTTTAATGCTCGGGCTGGAGAGATGGCTCAGCAGTTAAGAGCACTGGCTGCTCTTTCAGGGGAATTAAGTTTAATTCCCAACACCCACATGGCAGCTCACAACTGTCTGTAACCAGCTCCAGAGGATCTGGCATCCTCACACAGACATATGCAGACAAAACACCAATGCACACAAAATAAAAATAGGTTAAAAAAATTTTAATGCCCTTTATGGCCAAGCCATCTTTTCAGCCCCACAATATAATTTTTTAAATTAAACATTGTAACATAATACAATCGAAAAATACACTAATTTTATAATTACATGCTGGGGACTGATGGGAAAATATTGTCTTTGTTTTCCATAATTAAACAGTTATGTTCCCATAAGATCCTAAACTTGGTGTTGGAGACACATGCAGTGCAGTTGATGCCATCCATGCATGGGCCTCCAAAATGAGCAGAAGTGTTTCAGCCGTCTTTGTGGCAGTGTGAGGCACCAAGGCTGCAGCGCCCTGCCAGACTCTCCACCAGCAGCATTGCCAGAGACACCTTGGGTTCACTTCACATTTGATTTTGAATTAATTTTTAGTCACAGCCTTTTACTCTTCTGCTTTCCACTATCCCATTCATTTTCCCGACCCCACTTAAGGTCACATCCCCACTGTTTAAGGAACTAGGAGTTGGAGAATTGGGGAGGAAGGACGCCCAACTTTGGTTTGGCGATTTATCAGTCTGTATTTACTAATGTGTTTGTAAGTGGTGACCAGGAGCAAGAGACTTGGTGCAGGCACCCAAAGTCCAGCAGCACTTGGAGCTGGTCTCAGTGCTGAGCTCTCTGCCTTTCCTCTTGCAGTGAATGTGGTGGAGGCACTTCAGGAATTCTGGCAGATGAAGCAGTCCCGGGGCGCTGACTTGAAGAATGGGGCTCTGGTGGTGTACGAGATGGTCCCTTCCAACAGCCCTCCCTATGTCTGCTACGTCACTCTGCCTGGGGGAAGTTGTTTTGGGAGTTTCCAGGTAAGAGTTATAAGGCAGCAGCAGTAAGGATAAGTGGGAAGTGCCAATGAGGACTTTATTACTTTGGCCATTAATCTCTGCCTGAAGTCACATATTTGAGTCACCAACTCTGAGCAAATCCTCCTGGCAAGCACCAGAGGCTCATGGGATCACTGGGGAGCCTCTTCAGCATACTTCTTTCATCCTGCAAAAAACGCAAAGCCATCTCAAATCTGAGCAGTTATGATTATGTATTTATTACTGTATCGGACTCCCAGCACCTGACCTTTGCATTAGTCTGGCTTCCACGATTGCATGCCAACTTCCTGCCATTTCTTCTTTTTAAAAATGTGTTTGTGAGTGTTTTGCCAGCTTGTATGTCTGTGTGGCATGTGTGCCCAGATAACCCTGGAATCAAACTTAAGTCCTCTGGAAGAGCAACCAGTGCTTTTAACTGCTGAGCCATCTCTCCAGCCTCCTGATCTTATTTTTAATTATATGTATGTGCCTGTGTGTGAAGCCTGAAGATGGTGGTAGATCTCCTGTGGTTAGTGTATAGGTGGGTGTTATCCTTTTGATGTGGGCTCTGAGAACTAACTTCTGGAAGAGCAAGAAGTGCTCATAACTACCCAGCCATTTTTTTCCAGCTCCTCTTTCTTCCCCCCTCCCAACCCAAAGAAAGGATTTTGTGTAGCCCAGCCTTGCCTCAAATTATGTAGCTAGGGATGATCATGCTGAGTGTTTGATCCTCCTGCATCGGTGTCCCAAGAGCTGGGATTTTCAGCATAGCACCGTCACTCACTATGCAGTGTCTGGGGGCTGATCCCAGGGCCTCCTGCATACTAGGCAAACACTCCGAATGAGCTCCAGCTCTGTCTCCAGCCGAAACTTTCATTGTTCTGAAAGTTTTCCTATTGTTAACACTGTATTTAGATATGAAAGACTGACAATAGTGGAAAGAATAACTACTTTTATAGGCTGGTGAGAAGTTACAGGAGCTGAAGAGATGGTTCAGCCATTAAGAGCACTTGCTGCTCTTCCAGAGGCCCAGGGTTCAGGACAGTTTGAAACCACCTGTAACTCCAGCTCCAGGAACCTGACACTCTCTTCTGGCCTCCACAGGCACTCGCACCCATGACACACATACACACACAAAAAAAGAGTAAAAATAAAAACAAATTATAAAGACTTTTAAAAGAAATTATTGTGGATTGATATGGCAGCCTTCCCAAATGTCAACTTAAGAGTCTGCATAGGAATTTAAAGAAGATGATAGACACCTGTGGTTAGTTAGATTGTGTCATCTGTAGATAAGGCTGGAACTCTGCTGTTTCCATAGCACCCTGGGCTTCCCTATCATATAACTTACATCATTACTGATTGTTTTTTCAAGGGTTCTAGGACGTGTCTGTTTTTTTCCTTCTGGTTCTGTGTATATGTATACTTGTGTGTATAACATACGATTGGACACAGGGCCTTGAAAATGTCTTCTGTCTTGTTCAGTATTAAAAACCTGCCACCCACTCAGACCCCTAGCATAGACAATTTATTTGTTGCATGAGTAAGAGCCATTGTAGCTCTCAGTTCTTGCCTCAAACAGAAAGTTCCAAGGACACCTTGTTTTATTTATTTTGTTTGTTTTTCTGAGACAGGGTTTCTGTGTAGTCCTGGAACTCACTCTGTAGAACAGGCTGTCCTAGAACCCATGGAGATATATCTGTCTGCTTCTGCTTTGGAGTACTGGGATTAAAGGCATGTGTTACCACACCTGGCTTGGAAGCTTTGTTTTAAATCACATGTCTAATTTTTTTTTTTTGACTCAGCACTTGAACCATTTCAGACAAACATAAGCCATTTCCATGTCTGTGGTGTGCACACAGTGGGTGCACACACATGTTTATGTGTGCATGTGGAATCCTCGGTTGATGTGGGAAACATGCTCATCACTCTTCCACTCACTCCCTGAGGCGGTCTCTCAGTCACACCCATAATTGGCAGACGCGGCTAGTCTCATTAGCCAGCTGGCTCTAGGGATCCCATCTCTGGTGTTCCAAGGCTGGGATTTCAGGCAGCATTATGTGGGTTCCAGAATCTGGGGTCTCAATTCTGGCTTTCACACTCATGAAAAAAGTACTTTAACCACTGAGCCCTTTCAGGCCCCCCCTTCCCCTACTAAAGAATATGGCTCCTCCTCCTCACCTCGTCACAATCTGAAGGGCAGTTAGAATTTTATGATACTTGGGGGCTGGAGAGATGGCTCAGAGGTTAAGGCACTGACTCGTCTTCCAGAAGTCCTGAGTTCAATTCCCAGCAACCACATGGTGGTTCACAGCCATCTGTAATGAGATCTGGTGCCCTCTTCTTGTGTGCAAGCTTACATGCAGATAACTATATACATAAAATATAAAAAAAGAATTTTATGATACTCATTAAGGAACCGTTTTTATTTATTTTGGTTTTTTTTGTTGTTGTTCTTTGGTTTGTTATTTTCTGAAAATGAAATTATCTGTTCTTAGCCGCTTTTAGCTTACAATTTTGCAACCACCTTGGCAGGTGTAATTCTCTCAGGTGGTTTTCTTCATGGCTGACCTTTTCAGTAGTAGTATTATGGGATAAAGTGGTAGAAGAAATAGGGAAACTAAAGACACAGAAAGCATTGGTGTGAGTGTATCAGGCTCCACATGCTGTCTCAGAGGGAACTGTCCACTAAAGGATCTTAGGAGTAATCAATAGAGATAGTTCAGTGACTAACGTCTCACACTCTCCTATTAAAAGCTGAAATGTCAAGCCAATGTGGTAGCACCATGTCTTTAACCCCAGCACTTGGGAGGCAGAGGGATCTCTGTGTGTTCAAGGCCAGCCAGGTCTACATAGTGTGATCCAGAACAGCCAGGGCTACAGAGAGCTTGTCTCAAAAAAGCAAAAAGCCACAAAACTCCTCTTAATCATGAATGGCAGTGATCCAGAGGCACGTGATAAGACTAATTAATTATACCAGAGCAGTATGATGGTGGGGATGGTACCAGAGCAGTGTGATGTGATGGCAGGGGATCTGACATTGGGATGATCTAAGACTTCTGAAAATCAAATTTGCCCATATCTTTGTTGGCTACCGTTTTAAAAGTTACTGTTGTCTCCCTTGCATCTACTGTGGAGGGAAGAGTTATCTTCAGACTTAGATCCTATTGAGGTGGCTCCTTTGGCCTGCCTATTTACAGCTAAGAGTGAAGAGCAAGAATCCCAGATGGGTGCTCCTAATGGGTCATGGCATGTCTTTTTTTTTTTTTCTCCTCCCCAAGACAGGGTTTCTCTGTGTAGCTTTGGAGCCTGTCCTGGCACTCTGTAGACCAGGCTGGCCTGGAGCTCAGAGAGATCCACCTGCCTCTGCCTCAGCCTCCCGAACGCTGGGATTAAAGGCATGTGCTACCAACGCCCAGCATGGCATGTCTTAATCTTGGGTTATCTAGAATTCAGACACCCTTGTCTGAAAAGCTGCCTAGGAGCTGGCTTTCGAGAAATTAGTTCTGTTGACAGTTTAGAGGCATTTTTCATGTCTTATGGTTATATGCTGACTTCAGCAGCCTTCCTTACTCTGCATTCAATTTGGTATGAGCTAGTCATCTCCAATTCTTTAATGACTTCAGGATGTTGAGTCAAAGTTATGTTTTCAAACACCCCAGCCATTTCACAGCAAAGCTCCGGAAAGTGTGATGAACGAAGCTGATTCATCCATGGTGTCCAAACGTCGTCCTCCTCAGTGGCTCCCTTCCTGCTGCTGCTTCTCCCCTGTTAGATGCCCATGTGTACTTACTCTTTCTCCCTGCCTAGTTTTGCCCCACAAAAGCTGAGGCCCGGCGCAGTGCTGCGAAGATTGCGCTAATGAACTCCGTGTTCAATGAACATCCATCCCGAAGAATTACTGATGAGTTTATTGAGAAGAGTGTCTCAGAGGCCCTGGCATCTTTCAATGTAAATAACTTGGAAATGGGAGGAGGGAGACTGGGAGGTGGGAGACCTGGGGAAACCCATTTGTTTTTGTTCTTTTCTGTCTGTGTTTCTAGTCTGTTTATTGTATCAATTTTTGTGTGTCCTGGGTTTCATGTCTGTCTTTAATTCTAATATCTGTGGTTTTATGTTTAATGATTTGTCTCTTTGGAACCTAGATACTTTTAATTCAATATTTGTGGAATTCAAAAAATTTTATAATGATAGTCATGGTGATACATACCTTTAGTTCCAGCACTTAGGAGGCAGGCAGATCTATGTGAGTTTGAGGATAGCCAGGGCCGTAAAGAGAACTATCTCAAACAAACCAAATAATAAAATCTTTATCCTGTTTATATGCATGCTATGTTGCATATGTAGAGGTCAGAGGACAACTTCTGGGAGGCCTTTCTGGTTCTCTTCTTCTACCATGAGGAATCCAGTATCAAACTCGGGGTTCCAGGAGGGAATTATCTTTACCTGCTGAGCCACCTCACCGGTCCCAATTTATGAAAATTTTAGAACTTTTAAAATAATGAAATAATTTCATGCTTGAATTTTACATCTCCTAAGTTTGGATTAAAATTTCAGTTCCTGTTCCTTAAAAATAGGTAGCTCTGTGGGCAGGGGCTGGGGAGAGATGTCCTACCCCTCCCCTGCCCCCCACACACACCTGAGCAGGTGAGAGAGCTGTCCCTGCCCCTCATTAGCTGCAGCACTTGGAGAGAGTGTCCCCCCCATCCCCACTGTTGCCTGGACAACAGTAGAGCTGGCTCTGAAAGTATAGATATGGGAGAACCAACCCCGAGGACATGAAAGCCAAAGAACTGGTCCTGCCCCTTGCTCATCACTGCAGGACAATGCGGGAGCACTCACCCTGGTGGTGAAGATGGGCGAAGTGGCGGGCTGACCAACCCTGCAGCTCCCCAGGCCCAGCACCAGGGTTATGTGTTGGCCCACCCCATGTGTGATCATCTGGAGCACAGGGGTGGGGGATGGGGGTGTATGCCAATCCTGTGAATCCCTCAGAGCTGCAGGATCTCCAGGACACCGGGCAGCAACGAGGTGTCTAGGAAGAGTCCCAGTGAGAGCCCAGTGTCAGTGGGGCAGCAGAGACCAGTTCTTTTCGATAACCCCTGCATGTAAAAATACATGGATAAAGGGGCTTACTTTGTGAGCCATCTTGTCACACTGCAGCTTCCATGAGATTCCCCCTTCCTCCTCCCCCCTCCTTCCTCTTAAATTTTATTTTATTTTGGGGTGGGGAAGGAGATGGGTGGGATTGGGAGGCATGATGTGAAAGACACAAATAAAAAAAAAAAAAAAAAAAAAAGGTAGCTCTGTGACTAGAGACCGGCCGATCCCTAGAACTTAATGACCATTCACTGTAGCCAGTTATAGAGCTCAGAGTTCACTGAGAGACCCTGTCTTAAAAATGAAAGTGGAGAGGCAGAGAGGGAAGACCCAAAACCATTATCTGGCCCCCACACTAGTGTGTACACAGAATATACTTTTGAACTATTTTTATTTCAATGTAGCAACTGGAAAATTTAAAATCAAATGTGGGAGTTGGAAAAATGGCTCAGCAGTTAGGAGCACTTGCTTTCAAAGAGGACCCAAGTTCATTCTGTTCCCTGTGTCAGGAGAGTGTCTGGAACTCTAGTTCCAAGGGAATCTGCTACCTTTTTTTTTTTTTTTAAAGATTTTATTTATTTATTATGTATACAGTGTTCTAGAAGGCAGATCTCATTACAGATGGCTTTTGAGCCACAATGTGATTACTGGGAATTGAACTCAGGACCTCTGGAAGAATGCTCTTAACCTCTGAGCCAGATCAGCTAACTTCTGACCTCTGTTGGCATTTGTACATCACACACACACACACACACACACACAAAAAAAAAAAAAAAAAAAAAAAAAAAAAAACAAAAAAAAAAAAAAAAAAAAAACACTGGGAGAAAGGTTAACAAGTAAAGCATTTGCCTTGCAAGCAGGAGGGCCTTAGTTTGGTCCCCAAAGGCCATTTAAATTCTAGTGTGGTGGCTCACATGTGTAGTCCCAGAGCTGGGTATCCCTAGGGCTCTTTGGCCAGCCAGTCTAGCATAATTGGTGAGCCTCAGGCCAGCAACACTGTCTCAAAGGAGGTGGTCAGTGTTTCTGAGGAGTAACACTTGAAGCTATCCTCTGGCCTTCAGACAGTACACATACACAAAAAAATGTTAATAATTTCTTTTGGATGATGCTGGTCAGAGTGATAATTCTGATTGAAAACCTACTTGTCTTTTTCATTCCTGTCATCAGGGTAACAGAGAGGAAGCTGACAACCCAAATACAGGAATTGGTGCTTTCCGATTCATGCTGGAATCTAATAAGGGCAAATCAATGCTGGAGTTTCAGGTACTGGCCCACCTACTTTCCTGGCTTTAATAACACAGGTCAGCCTGACACACCACCTACTCATTGCTACCTCATTATTCTGAAAAACAGATGGAGGGAGGTGGTTAGGTTTTCAAGGGCACACCAGAATTGGTGGTTGGATATTAGATGCTTCCACAAATACATTTTGTAAAAAGTTTCACATTTGATTCTGCTGCAGTCTAACTTAAAAGCACTATCCTAGTTGTATTAGCCAGGGTTCTCTAGAGAACCAGAACAGATAGAACACTCTCTCTCTCATACACACACAACTTATTAGAGTGACTTATAGGCTGTGGTCTGACTTTTCCAGCAACGGCTGTCTCCAAGAATCCAGTAGTTGTTCAGCCATCAGGCTGGATGTCTCAGCTGGTCTTCAGAATACACCAGATCCCCAAGGAAGTCGGCTCTAATGCCAGTGAAGGGATGGACTGCTGGTGAAAGCAAGCTTTCTTCTTCCTGTCTTTTATATTGGCTGCCACATGTGTGGCCCAGATTTAAGGGAGGGATGTGTGCTCTTGTGTGTATCTTCCCACTTCCAATGATCTGGTCAAGAAAAGCCCCTCATGGTGTACCCAGCAGCTCGTGGGTTAGTTAACTCCAGGTTTGTATTATCAAGTCAACAACCAGAATTAGCCATCATGCTGCTATGTCATCTTCTTCCCCCAGGAGCTAATGACAGTTTTTCAGCTGTTGCACTGGAATGGCAGCCTTAAGGCCATGAGGGAAAGACAGTGCTCACGACAGGTAAGAGCTGAGAAAAAGGGTAGAAGAGCTGCTTTGGGCTGTGTTAAATGGTTACCAGGCTGTAACTACTGAAAGGCCGTATCTCAGCAGCCTCTTTGCTCTTGTATTCTTTTGTTTTGTTTTGTTTTTTTAGTTTTTAGGGTTTCTCTGTGTAGCCCTGGCTATCCTGGAACTCACTCTGTAGATCAGGCTGGCCTCGAACGCAGAGCTCTGCCTGCCTCAGACTCCTAAAGGCACCCAGTCTGCTCTTGTATTTTTGCTGTCTGGATGTCATTGTGGTCCTTTCACCTTGTTTCCCCACTATAAAGTTTTCATTAAGAAACTCCTGGGCTGAATTGGGCTTGGTAGCTTACACCTTTAATCCCGACACTTAGGAGGGAGAGGCAGGTGGATCTGAGTTCTAGCAAGTTCTATGCCAGCAAGTGCTACATAGTGAGACCCTATCTCAAAACAAAACAAAACAAAACAAAACAAACCTGCCTCCTTAGCCTCTACTTCCTAGCTACCACGACATGAACTAGTTTGCCTTGCCATGGCTCTCCTCCAAGATGGACTGACAACTCTGAAACTGTCACACTCTGGGTGTCCTTCTCACTAAGAACCAGAAAGGACCAAGTCTATCACATTAAATCACAAATCAACCTTCAGTGTTCCATGGAGGCTTCAGTTCCTTCTAGAACAAGGAGTTGCCTAGAACAGAAGAGATGAAATAATCATTGCATTTGTAACATAATTTTGCCAAATTATGGGCATTCCTACAGATCCTTGAGCATGTGTTCATGGTGACTTGGGTATGCTGAGGTTTTCACACATTTAGGAGATTTTGTTGTCTTTAAAAAATGACCACAGGGCTGGAGAGATGGCTCAGTGGTTAAGAGCACTGACTGCTCTTCCAGAGGTCCTGAGTTCAGTTCCCAGCAACCACATGGTGGCTCACAACCGCCTTGAATGAGATCTGGTGCGCTCTGCTGGCATGCAGGCAGAAGACTGTATACATAATAAATAAATAAAAATCTTTAAAAAAAAACCCAAAACAAAAAAACCCAGTCTTTAAAAAATGACCCCATTTCCCACTTAAGCCAGACACCTTCTACATGCTGCTGGGGTACTGAAGGTGTAGTCTATCCCAGAGCTCAGAGGCTTCACTGTGCTCCCCATGGCACAGCCCCTGTGCCTCCCTGATCTGTGTATATATTCAACCCCTCCCTCAATTTCTAATCTACTTAAACTCTCATAAAACAGGGGAAAGTGAATCTTTGTAGGTCATGTGCTAACTTCAGTTCCGACATCAAGGCTAAGCTCCATTGGGGTAACTGTGCTATGGAATGTGTAGGACATGTCCCTATCTATTGGGGTCCCTGTGCGGTACGGCATGTTTTTACCTCCTCAGTGACCTTTGCATTCCTCACCCTAACCAGGAGGTGTTGGCTCATTATTCGCACCGGGCCCTGGATGACGATATTCGCCACCAAATGGCTTTAGACTGGGTGAGCCGGGAGCAGAGCGTGCCAGGGGCACTGTCTAGAGAGCTGGCCTCCACTGAACGAGAGCTGGATGAAGCCCGGCTGGCGGGCAAGGAGCTGCGCTTCCACAAGGAGAAGAAAGATATTCTCATGCTGGCTGCTGGGCAGTTGGGCAACATGCATCCTTCCAGCTGCTGAGCACCTGCCCTCTTCAGCCTTTTTTGTATGTCTCTTTTTTAAGACATAGGATGATTTCTGTATATACTTTCTCAATTTTATACTTTAAAATATAGACATATATGTATAAATTCTACACCTGGATTCCTATTTGCTGAGATCCCTTTTCTAACTTCCAGTTTGGAGATGTAGTTACCTTTGAAATATCACTGTTCCATTTTAGAGGTTTGTTGGCTCTTAAACCTTCAGATTAAGTATATAAGTCATTTCAGTAGTACAGTACAATTTACTAAGTGTTCATGTCTCTTTTTTTAAAAAATAGCAGTCACCTGCCAGGCAGTGGTGGTGAACACCTTTAATGACAGCACTGGGGAGGTAGAGGCAGGTGGATCTCTGTGAGTTTGAAGCCAGCCTGCTCTATAGAGCTAGTTCCAGGACAGCCAAGGCTATACAGAGAAACCCAGTCTCAAAAAGCCAAAAACAAAAATTAAACAAACAAAGCAGTCACGTGTGATGACTCATAGCTATAATCTCTGCATTCAGAAGTCTGAGACAGTATTGCTGTGAATATGAGGCCAGCCCGGACCACACAGTGACTTACAGATCAGCATGGGCTACAGGGTATAAGACCATCTCAAATCCTTCTTTCCCTACATATAAAACAACAGTCAGTAATAAGGAGTATGTGTTCCACCCTCACCCATATTCTTGTTTTCTCTAGACTAAAACAGGGTGTGACCTCTGCCTTGAGGTGTACCTTCTTATACTCTCCTGCTCGCTTTCCTCCTTCCTTACCTCCACAGGCTCCTTTGTTTGGGGACTTCCTTACCTTATTCAGAAGGAACAGGAGATCTGGCTTCTTTTTGTTTTGTGGGACATCTTACTAAGTAAATCTGGCTGGCCTGAAACTCATTCTGTAGACTAGGAGGGCTTCATACTTGTGGCAGTATTCTTGCTAAGACCATAGGCATGGGTTGCCTGGCCTGGCCTGGTTTTTATTCTGAAGTCACTCCTGCCCAAAAAATTCACATGGAGGGTGGGGATGGCACTACTTACACTGCCTCTGGGCTATCGATGCCCTTCCAGCAGTCTACATTTCTGGACATAAGAAGAGGGTGAGAGTTTCTGCTCTCACCTTTCAGCATTCCCTGCTGTCATTTCTCTCCTGCTCACCATACTGAGTAAAGCCTCTCACCCCCCACACCCCCCCACCCCCGCCATTTCATTTTGTTTATGTAGCCCAGGCTGGCCTCAAATTCTCCTGGTAGGTGAGAATGACCTTGAACCGCTGAGCCTCCTGCATCCACCTCCCACCTGCTAGGATTACGATGGAGTATCACCGCATCTGCCTTAACCCTTCCTTCAGTGACTGGAAACATCCTGCTCTTTAGAAACTGCATCTGTTCTGTTTAGTGAGAACCTCAGAGGAATCTCAGGCCCACCGAGTTGTGCTGTTTACTCTTAAATGTACACTCCTTAGATTCTCATTTCCTGTGTCTTCCTTCTCTTCCTCCACATGGACTGAGAACAAGTTGATGAACCATGGATGAGAATGCGGTTCTTCCTAAGTGGCACCTGGGTAGCTTGCAGAAAAAAGAGAACTAGTTACTTGTGTGTAAAGAGAGAAATGACCTGGCAGATAGGCAGAGTTCTATTTCTTCCTTGTTTCTGTGATCTCTGCTATACTGTATTGTTGTGCAGTGCACTTTCTCTCAATATACTGCTACTATAATTTGACTTCCCATTGAACATTTGCAGTTTGCTTTTGGATTAGGAACCAGGCCCTGGTGTAGGTCTGTAATCCCAGTTACTCTGGAGGCTAAGGCAAGGAGATCAGAAATTTAAGGTCCATCCTAACTTGAGTGAGGTCAGAGGCAACCTGGGTAACTTACCCAGACTGTCTCAAAAATATAAAGTGAAAACAGGGCTGGGGATATAGCTTAGTGTTAGAGTTTGACTGGCATGTGAGGCCTGAGTTTAATCTCTACTGCAGAAAGGGGGTGGGGTGGGAGATTTGCAGGGAAGAGGAAAGGAAGGAACAAGGTGAAAAGCAGCTTTCTTGCTTTTTAAAATCATCTTTGTGACAAGGACACATGGGATCAGGTAGTGAGCCCAGTTACAAGTGTCTGTGCTTAGAAAAGGGTTCCTTTATCCTTTTAGCCTGCCTCTTTATTTCATAAAGCACACTGGGTTGGAACAGAGGCTCCCACATTGCGTGACAGGTGTTATCTGTTTTCAATTGGTGTGTATAACCCAGAAGCCACGGACCCTCCCATTTATCCTCTACTTCTTTCTTTGTGTAAGACCTGTTAAGGAGTATGAGCTTGGGGAAGCATTGCCCTTGCACCTCCTGGATTCACTGTTTTTCTCAAAACCATACAACTCCAAAAAACACAAGAAGAATTGTTCTGTCCACTTTTGATGTTAAAGATTTTAGTTATCTTTTTGGTACTTTCTATGTATTTTATATGTAAAATTTTACACAATTAAAAATGGGTTTTTGTCTAGTAAGCCAGAATGACTTTGTTTTTCCTGTGATAGGATCTTGTGTCACTTCCAACTTGCTATGTATCTGAAGCTAGCCTTGAGTACTTCCTCCTCCTACCTCTGCTTCCCAAGTAATGGGACCAGGGCCATGCACCACTTCCTAGGTAATGGGACCAGGGCCACACGCCACTCAGCTGATTATTGCTTTTTCTGTTTGGTTTTTCGAGATAGGGTTTTAATATAAAGCCACAGATGGCCTGGGACTTGCTATGTATATCAGGATGGTCTCAAACTTACAACACCCTTTCTGCCTCTGCTGGAATCACAAGTATGTGTCACATCCTGCCAGAATGACTGAGGCCATCCACTATCAGAGGAGCTCTAACATGGCCTCACACACCCACACACTGACAGAGGTTTTGAGGCTGGTGGGAACAAGATCATATTGCTGAGGGAAGGCAGCTGCTCCCCTTCTCCAAAGAGTGAGGCAGCTTGGATTTTGTCCAGGGCCCTTCCTCAAGCTCATTCACACTATGGCAATTTTTTTTTTTAAAAGATTTTATTTATTTATTTATTTATTTATTTATTTATTTATTTATTTATTATGTATACAGTCTTCTACCTACATGCCAGCAGAGGGCACCAGATCTCACTCAAGGTGGTTGTGAGCCACCATGTGGTTGCCGGGGAATTGAACTCAGGATCTCTGGAAGAGCAGTCACTGTTCTTAACCGCTGAGCCATCTCTCCAACCCCCACTATGGCAATTTAAACTATATACTAATCATTTTCAAATATATTTTCCACCTCAACTTGTTTTGAGCTTTTTTATTTTGTTTTGTTTTTCAAGACAGGGTTTCTTTGTGTATCTTTAGAGCCTTTCCTGGCACTCGCTCTGCAGACCAGTCTGGCCTCGAACTCATAGAGATCCTCCTGCCTCTGCTTCCTGAGTGCTGGGACTAAAGGCATGCACCACCACCGCCAGACTTGTTTTGAGCTTTTATATCTGTGTTTCTACATACTAGCCATCACAAACTGGACGTGACAGGAACACCGTCAACTTACATATCCATGATGAAAACTGTTTCTCCATTTGCTCATCCTTGACGTCCTAGATAATTATGAATTATTATTTCACCTAGCTATTTAAGGTCCTTCCTCAACATCATCATCCAATTAGTCTCTGCCTGTTGGGTTTGCATTGTATGTGAAGTCCAACCTGTTTTATCTATATTTTTTGCTTTATTTTTTTATTTTTTTGGTTTTTCCAGACGGTTTCTATGTGGCTTTGGAGGCTGTCCTGGAACTCCCTCTTGTAGACCAGGCTGGTCTCAAACTCAGAGATCCCAGCCTGCCTCTGCCTCGAGAGGCCTGGGATTAAAGGTGTTCACAGGAGCACGCCTTAATTCCAGCACTAGGGAGGCAGAGGCAGGCGGATGTCTGTGAGTTTGAGACCAGCCTGGTCTACAAGAGCTAGTTCCAGGACAGCTAGTGCTGTTACACAGAGAAACCCTGTCTAAAAAAACCCCTGCCCCGAAAAAAAAAAAAAAAAAAAAAAAAAAAAAAACTAAAGGTGTTCACAACCACTGCCCGTATTTTCTGCTTTATTCAGTCCATCCCCCCACCTGAACTAGACTACTGCAATCACTTCCTAACTGACCTTTGCATTCAATCCTGTTATTCTTCCCTCATGACTGTTCTACTCCTTGTTTAAACCATCATTAAGCTATCTTTACCTGTAACAACATTTTCTAAAGTTTTATATGTGAGCCTGGGGTAGAATAAGGTAGGAAAAAAACAACTATTAGATACTGATTTACTAGTGACTTACTTAAAACATTGCCTGTACATTCCTGTAAAGTCCTGCAGTCTTGCTTGCTTGCCTGCGCATGTGTGGTTTTAGAGTATAAAGTAAGAGTACAAACGGGACCTGGGACAGTCCTTCCAGGAGCTATGCTGGCCAAAATCTACTGCTGACATCTCTCTCCTACTCTTACTGGTGTTGAAATGCTTATTCCATAAATATTCAACATTGTATTCTTCAACAAGCTCGTGGTGTCAGCTGAGTTGATTTTAGTAGTAGACCAACACATTAAAAACAACAACAACAAACCCACGTAAACCAATATACCCAGTGGTATATTGGAGGATGGCCTCCTGCCTCTGAGACCTGGGATTACAGGCGTGCATCACCATACTAGGTTTATATGGCCCTGGGGACCAACATAAGGCTTTGTGCATGATAGGCAAAACACTTTTCACATATTTTTGTGCAAATTTACTGTAGAAAATCTTGCTTTTCCATTTATAGTAGTGTGTTTAAATGTCCTTTTAAAGTAAATTTGTATTTAAAAATCTGTTTAAGAAAAAAAATACCAAGCAAAAAATAACTTAGAAGCTATTGGGGTTTGTGTGGGGGGGTATTTCCAAATGTTAAAAGTCTTAAGTCAGCCTGACGTTTGTGGCACAAGCCTTTACCCATCATTCGGTTGGCAGAGGCAGGAGGATCTCTGAGAGTTCGAGGCCAGCCTGGTCTCCAGATCGAGTTCCAGGACAGCCTCCAAAACAACAAAAAAAACCCTCCCCAAAAAACAAAAAAAAAAAAAAAAAAAAAAAAAGTCTTAAGTACAGGGCTGGAGGGAAGATAGCTCAGAGGTTAAGAACTCTTGGGATCTGATAGCCTCTTTTGACCTCTTCAGGAAACCTTACTCAGGTTCCACCATCACAAAGAGACAAATAAGGCTGAGGTATTTCATGCTGAGGCAGGCAGATTTTTGTAGGTTCAAGGCCAGCCTAGTCCAAATTGAGTTCCAGTCAGGACTACAGAGCTTGTCTTAAATAAATAAATCTTAAAAAAAAAATCACAAACACTCAAAATATTTTAGGAAAAATTTCTTATTTTAGGATTAAACTGCAGAAAATCCTTAGCATGACAATATGATCCTAAACTGCCATTTACAGATTTATTTCCCAGTCACATAACTTTAAAGCATACAAAATTCCTTTGTATTCTGAAATTCATCCATTTCTTCTCTACCATGGGACAGGCACCAGGTACAAGTTTTGGAGATAATTACAAAGAAGCATCTTTACATCATAATGGGTGGAAAACAAGTTAAAAACAAAACAAGGCAATTAGACATCCTTTTTTAAATTCTAAGAAGGAAAGAAACACAGAAAAGGAGGATAATAAAAATGCCTTCAGTGGCCTGGCGTTGGTGGTGCACGCCTTTAATCCCAGCACTCGGGAGGCAGAGGCAGGTGGATCTCTGTGAGTTCGAGACCAGCCTGGTCTACAAGATCTAGTTCCAGGACAGCCTCCTAAGCCACAGAGAAACCCTGTCTCGAAAAACAAAAAACAAAAACCAAAACAAAACAAAAATGCCTTCAGTGACAGTATTGAACCCTAAAGGATGAGGCTGAGCCATCCATGCCAAAGACTTGGAGAAATAGCATCGGAATGAAAGCAGGCCAAGCAAGTGATCTACTGCCTAATTACATTCCTAGTCCTGGGAGCCAAAGCTGCAAAATCCCTGAGATGAGAAAGAATACACCTTAGGTAAGAGCAAGTGTAGGGAATGATCAATAAGCCAGCCTGGTCTACATAGGAAGACCCTGTTTCAAACAAAACAAAAACAAAAAAACCATGTGATGGCTATTCCTTGCCAACTAAACTATATATATATATATTTGTTTGTTTTTGGAGACAAGGGTTTCTCTGTGTAGCTTTGGAGCCTATCCTGGCACTCGCTCTGGAGACCAGGTCTGCCTCTGCCTCCCGAGTGCAGATTAAAGGCGTTCGCCACCAACTTGACTATATTTATAATGAACTGTAATTCAGAAATGGAGGGCACACTCGTGATCCAGATCTTGAGGTAGGAAGCCATACTTTTAATCTGGGCCACACCTTCTCTTGGAAGCCTACTGTATGGACAATGAGAGGAGGGTGTTGTTCATCTACCTGCTTGCCAGCCCCTCCATCAGCCCATCCATTCCTTCTTCAAGATCCCAGCAGACCAGATGAGACACCCAGCTTCATTGTGGGACTGAGCAGCTCCTCTATTCTTGAACTTTCCATTCATAACTGCAGAGTCATTCCATAATTTCTGTGACTCTAGAGAACCCTAACTAATACAGTTTAGAATAAACTACAATCCATAAATGGAGGGCACACTTGTGAGAAAGTTTCTGCTTGGTTTGAAGTGGGTGAATCCATTTCTAGTCCAGACCATTTAAGGACACACGCCTTTATACAGATTGTGAGCTGGGAAGACACACCTTTAATCTGGTCCATACCTTCTGCTGGAAGTCTACATAAATGCAAAAAAAAAAAAAAGGAAGCTTTTGCTCTTTGTCTGCTAGCATATCCATTCCTTCACTGGCAGTAGAGCCTACTTCTTCCAGGTTCCAGCATACACATAAGCCCCAGCCTTGCCGGACTCAGCAGCTACTAGAATTTTGGACTTTCCAACCACAGCTAACCATTGTTTGCATTAGCTGGACTGCAGCCTGTAAGTCATTCCCATAAATCGTGTGTGCCAGAAAGAGGTTCATTCCATAAGTTCTTGATTCTAGAGAACCCTGATTAATACACCATACTATCTTCAAGGATGTTAAAGCTGCTATTTTTAAGGCTCTGATGCCTCCTTGCCTTCCTGTCTAGCTCTAATTTGTGCCATGCTGGGGAGGAAACCTGGGGCTTCATGAACACTAATGTAAATATATTTATCGATTAAGCTCAATCTCAGCTCCAGGAGACTTACCTAAAAAAATAAAAAAATTGAAGCTGTGTGTGATGAGCACATCTTTTAATCCCACCCTCCAGAGGCTGACGCTGACAGCTCTCTCTGCATTTGAGGCGACCCTCGTCTACAGTAAGATTCAAAACCAAAAATTTGCTATCCCCCTGGCCAATCCAATTTCAATGTCTTTCTTTCGTTTTTGTTTGTTTGTGTGTTTTGTTTTTCAAGACAGGGTTTCTCTGTATTGCTTTGGAGGCTATCCTGGCACTGGCTCTGTAGACCA